TTTTGTTTTCCTAGAATAAATGAAGTCCACAATTCCTTACTTGAAAACATTTGGTCATAAAAGAGGAGAGAAAAGGGCAGCCATGTAACCAAATCTCACAGGTCTGCTGAAAAAGCCAATAAAACCAAAGAGTCCAAGAGGAAAAAGAGTACCAGGGGTGCAGAGAGATGTGTAGTTCCCTACTGTAACTCATAGCGCTTCACAGGAAGCGCCATAAGTTACAGCTATCTCCAGGAACTAACCGTCATTCGCTGTTGGGTCCTGGGGGTTGGGAGATGAGCTGCAGTTCAGATCGGCTGTGTCCTTGCAGCCTCTGTCCCCTAGCAACACCCCTCCCAGCTCCATTACTGTTTTCAGAATGGGAGGGGGGAAAGAGAGTGGAGGGAGCTCATTCTGGGAGTTGCCTAATGAGTGCTGGAGTGCCCATCAACCCACCTCACCCTCCAGCAGTGGTTGGGCAATCCCAAAAACGGGTTCCCTCCGCTCCCTTCCCCCCACTCCCATTCCGAAGACAGCGCAAAGAGCATAGCTTGGCTGTGTCGGCCAAACTCTGCTCTCAGGTACACTGACAGAGATTAGTGAAGACACTCTGCTTTGGAGCATCTTCATCTGCACCCTAGGGATGCATGTACACTGCATTGGAACAGACTTGATTACAGCACATTGGAGCAGAGTCGATTAATAGAGTCTGCTTGAGCATGGCAATTACTGAGCTCCAGCAGCCTCCCGCATCTCATGTGTCAGCATCCCGTTTGAGCTTTAATTCAAGCACACCTGCCACCATTTGGAAGCATGAGGATGCTGATGCGTGAGACTGTGGTGCTTCAATTAGTGTGGCTCTTGAAGCTGCTCTAATTAATGTGCTGCTCTACCCCTGGAGCACATAAAAGTGCCCCTAAATTCCCTATACTGAAAAATAGGAGTACATGAACTCTTGGCTTAAAGTGAACCGAGTAGACCATGTGTGAAGCACAGGTTCTCATTCATACCTTCTTGGTAGCTTAAATTTGTGACCAAATCTCCCTTCTACCTTCCATGCTTTGTTGCTTCCTAAAACAAAGCTGAACACTTTAATTCTTCTAACTTACCTGCAAAGAGTTGTCACTTTCTAATCAAGGCCCCAGGCTTAAAGGTTATAGTCAGATTGGTCAGATAACATGTATAGGTATCTCTTCACTTCTGTAGTTATGAGTGAAAGCAGTTTGATTATCCTAATCTGGCACCCACAACAACCAAGGTTCAGCCATGTAGGCATTTACTGCTTGAATGAGGCTGAACATTGGGAGATTTGGTAGAGACTGAGCTGAATTGTACAGGAAAGTGTACACAGTGTAGGCCTGCACCATGCTTGCTTATTGATCTCCCCTCACTTAAGAAAAGCAAATTCAGCCAAAGCACGGTTAAAGCAGGATATATAAAGCCATCAAGACCTATCCCCTCATAGCTGCCTGAAA